CACCCAGACACCCACACACCCACACACCCACACACCCACACACCCACACATTTATTTGGAGTGGTATTGGTTTTATTATTGTTTTCATGTGGTCTCATTCAAGTCTTTTGTTTTTTTATGTGCCCGGATATCTACATGGGCATTTGAATTTGGAGGAGGAATCAATTGGCTTGTTGTTCCTATGTTTTCCGGTAACATTCAAGATCTCTAGACAAATACCCTTCTTGGCATGGAATCCTCATGAGGAACCTCATAGAGTGTTTACTGTGGGTGTGATCTGCATTGGCACATTGGTAGGGTCCAGGGTGCCTTAAACGACCACCCTGGCTGCATGACTGAAAAATGCCCAGTTGGTAGCTGGTAGGCCCTGGCCGGGCTCTGAAACGAAGAGCAGCAGAGGTTCGGCTTGGTTGCAAACTGTAACGGTCCCCCAGGCTTTCCACTTTGCGCTGTACAGCAACAGCCAGCAGGCCCCATATTTTCGCTGGGCCATGAATGTGAAGAAGCCAAGGTTCAGTTGGGGTACTGGCACAGGCTTGAAGGCCGGCAACAAGGAATGGGGTTGTGATTTAACCAGTGGCGCTGCTGGTGTCACAAAGTGTTTCATGGTGTGTGGCCTGGTTTTCAGTAGTGTAAAGCTGTCATGGGGCTGTTTGTCCGTAGGCTCAGAGTGTTTATGCTGTGGGCAAGATCTGTGTGGACCAATTTCTTAGGACATACATCAGAGGGGTTGGCTGGGGTGTTTCGGTCCCTCTTGATGTGTGAATCTTCTGTGTGCTCAATAGGACAGCTGTGACATGTGCAAATCCGACACAAGTCAATATTTGCTGGTTTGGGCCAACGTGAGTCGAGGGCCGTGATGGAGCAGCCTTTTTTCCTGGGTTACTTTCGGATGAATAGGCAACCTGATTGTTGGGGCCGAGTTCTTGCGCTGTTGATGATTGTATTGACTTTCAAATATGGATGTTGAAGTGCAGGCTAATGAGCAAATCGTTTTACCTGCTGACTGCTAGTTAGAGTCGTGTGGGTACCTTGCACTAAACAACACGAATATGTAGTGAGCATTGCAATCATTAGACTGTATTTTTTGGAGGCTATGGGTTTGATGTTTGGCAAGTGCTCGACAAGACAACATACACATGCACATGCTCATGCACCCCGTATGCACGCTCCACACGGTATCCAACATAATGAATGGAAACCCCATCATAAGCTCCTTCTTGCCCCGATCAAACATTGAATGAATAACTGCTGTTTGCCATGTTGTCACCCTCTCAACAGTTCCTTTCCTCCCATCACTGGATAATAAAACAGAATGATTTCAGGCATTACTACTTCACAGAGCTTCCTTTCTTCCTTCTTCCTTCCTTCCTTCCGACAGGAGGACTAACTGTGGGGGAGAAATGGGCGAGTATACAAAAACTAGCTTCAAAGCTGAAGTTGCTCGTGAATACTAGAAACTGGAATGACTGCTAGGAGGTGAACCGAATTTACAGATTACTGTTTATCTCTTTAGCAGTGGAAGGGCAAATTCCATGGGCTGCGACATTCGTAGATATATGGACGTCTTAGTACGATGATATAGAGAGGTTACTGCACTCCACAAGTTGTGTATACGTCCTAATCTCGCCCTGGTGTAGTCACTATTATATTGGTAAAACTGGACGTAGAGCGGATAAGAGATGGATTGAGCATGTAAATCTCGCACGGAAATGTAGCAAAGGAAAACAGAGAAAGCTGTATAGCTGGCTACGTAAGCACGGTTGGAATAAATATGTTCTCATACCAGTATGGACTGGAGTGAAAAGGGAGATAGCATCAATGAAAGAAGCCTTAATCGGACGATTGAATCCTTACCTGAACACGAGAGGAAAGCGCCGAGTGAAAAAGAAATCAAACAGGAGGAGAGGAAAGAAGAAGGTTGGGGCACATGATGTAAACAAGCACATTCCACTAATGTTTGCTTCTCAAAGACTGGGTCAGACAATGGGGTTATTACCAATATTGCAACCAAAAGCAAAGACAACATGTACACTGGGAGGAATGTGGTTTGAAAAGTGGCGCCCTCTGCAGTTGGCGCCCGTTCCTGACTGTTGGCGCCCTCTGCAGTTGGCGCCCTCTGCAGTTGGCGCCCGTTCTCAAGTTCCTCCTTTGGCACTTTCGGATTTCGATACTTGGCGCCATCATGCATAAAGAAGACCAGGGTGCTGGTATTGGGTTGCTGAATTCTGCGCTGTTGAGCGCTTGGTGACTGGTTCTCGGAAACTGTTTAATGAGATAATTTGTTGGAATTTCTAAGCTGCGCATATCGACTTTGCATCGCTGGACTCCAGTGTGGATTCCGTGTGATCTCTCAATGTATGTGTGTGTGCTCAAGGTGTCGACCAAAGGGGCTCAGTGCACTGTGGAGGGAGGAGGAAGTGGAAGGGAAAGGGAGCCTATGGAGGGAGGACGGTGGCTATGATGAACGGAGCCAAATCGTTGGAAAAAAAAAAGAAGATGCTGATTCGTTGATGAAGCAAACAGGAAGGAAGAAGAGGAGAAGGGACGACAAGAAGAAAGACAAGAAGAAAAAGAAGAAGAAGACGAAAAAGAAGTGCCGAAGAAGAGGATGATCAAGAAAAAGAAGAATGAGTGGAAGAAAAATAAGAAACAATGAAGAATAATAACCTGCGGGTCATTTTATGGAATATTAATGGTTTAGCCACTGTTCTCCAAAATCAGCAAAAATGGAGCAATATCACGGATGTTGTGGGCTGGTATGGGAGTAGCCCACCGGACATACTCTGCCTACAGGAAACACACCTAACTGAATCACCGGAACACAAACGAGTACAAAAGGAGACATGCTGCCGTTTTCGCTAGGTGCATTGTGCCCTATGGGCTCCGACGCCAGGATCAGCAGGCACAGTCATCCTCGTACGCGCCAACACAGAGGCAGCGCAGGGCATCACTATAGAGACTGCACAGTCGGATCAAAGTGGTGGGAGATGGGCGAGACTGGACTTTCGTTTTAAACAGGAGCATTTCTGCCTGCTCTCAATCTACTGTCCAAATACCCGTCTGCACAGGGCAGAATTCATCAATTCTCTATTACCACTTTGTACCACCCCGGCGCACCTGATGCTAGCAGGAGACTGGGATGCAACGTTGGATCCGGCCATGGACAGGATGTCGGGAGGCGCCGCTGGTATAGATGGAATGGCATGGGAGGAGGAGGCCCCTATACATAACCTCATGATGGAACAATAGTTAGTGGATCCATATCGAACCCTTCAACCCAGGTCTAAAGCTTTCACCTATATCAAGCGTAACCGCAGTCAACACTTCTCAGCGTCACAAACTGACTTCTTTCTCACATCTGAAAGTCTCCAGGGCGCAATCCAAACAACAGGAATCAGCGATCTGCCGTACTCTACGGGGTTGGACCACAAGTACATATACCTGAACCTCGCCCTTGAAGCTACGACAAAAAGAGGATCTGGCTTCTTCAAGATCAATAACTCTCTCCTGGATACACAGATCATGAAGCAACACATCGTGGAGACATGTGAAGCTTTCGACACTTGTGCTACTTCCTTCCCACAACTGGTGGGGAGTCTATCCATGGCCACGGTCAAGGCGTCTCGCATTCTGGCTGCCAGAAGATCGGCAAAGGAGAAGGAGCTGGAGGCAGTTCTCAGACAGACAGAGAGAAATCTTGTCGCTCAACCAGGTTCGACACAACTGGAAGAAGCGTTGGAAGCGGCCAGATAGAAACTGGCAAAGTGGAAATCATGGAAAGACGCAGGCTTACGCCTACGTGCAAGAGTCAAAGAGTTGGAACAGGGCGACAAAATAACCAAATACTTTTTTCAAAAGATAAAAACCAACACTCGGAACAAACTCATCAACCGACTGAACACGAGCGACACAGTCACTTCAGATCCGGAGCGTATGCTATCCATCGTGGGAGACTTCTACAAGGATCTCTATACTTCGAGAGAGAACCAATCGCCTCCAACAGCCGTAAGGGAGGCTAGACACAAGTGCTTGAACCACCTAGACAAGACCCTATCACAAGAGAATACCGAAGGGCTGGATAAACCACTTACTCAAGCAGAAGTCGGAGCAGCGCTACATTCGCTACAATCGAACAAGACACCAGGCAGAGATGGCATATCCAAGGAGTTTTGGCAAACCTTTTGGCCAGTGTTTGAGCGAGAGTATATGTCCTTCCTCAGCAAAGCAGAGACACAGGAAGGTCTGGGAAAATACATAAGCACGGGAGTGGTCACCCTGCTGTACAAGAAAGGCGATCGAACAAATATCAAGAACTACAGGTCAATTACGCTACTGTCAGTAGTATATAAAGTGTTAGCCAAACTT